AAATCTGGTCGCTCATTCCCTCTGTGATCATATAATTCTACTCTGGAGCCTCAGTTACTATTTTTACCTGGCCCTAACTTCCCCCATCTTTCGAATTCCTGGGGAAAGACACTATGTCCTATTCATCTTTATATTGTTAGTACCCAGCTCATGCCTATACATGGTAGACATTCAACAGATAGTTGTTGGATGAATGAATGAAAGAATAAATGAACAAATTAACATTATAGTTATATGATGTCATGTTAAGACATGTGCAATTTTTTTGTAGTAATTGAATTCTGTAGACTTTAGACATACTTTGAGCACCATAACCTGATTTTTAACATATTCTTTAATTGTTACTATAATAAATAAATTGACACTAGACAAAAGATATTTTTGCATCCAAGTTGTCTTTATATTTATCAACAATTATGTGATCAATCAGTGTTACTTAAATATTAGGTAAATTCTGTTATTTTTAAAGATTTATTGGCAAAGTTCTAGAAAAAGAAAATAAAGCATTGTCATTTGCTTGCTAAATCTTGATAAATTTCCACAGTTTTAAAATCCTCCCGCAGATCAGCTTTGTAGTCTGACTTGTTCTTGTTAATAATGACCCATTCTGCTTGATTCTGTCCCACTCCTTAGAATAGGTGGAAGTTCCTGTGACCCTCCTCTTTCTCAGTTTAGAACTGCTTTTCGCTTAGTTAGTGGCCTCTTTGACTTTGGTTTACAGTCTCCCCAGTGACTCTCAAGGAGTAAAGAAGCTGATAGAGTGGATGGAAGCTGAAATCGGTTGGTGGGAATCCCAGCTTGGCCCTCATCTCCTATCTGAGAGATGAGCTAATAAGGGCAGTCTTACTGTCTCTGCTGCTGGGCAAACTTCTGTAGGACATGACTCTGCAGGCTTATGCTAGCCATAGTTCTGGAAGTTGGGTCTATTCGTTCTGTTTGTGCTTTTGTGGCATTGATATTGATGTTTTTGACACATCTTTTGTGATATCGTGCTGCTAGTATCAGGGATTTGATTCTCACTGGTTTTCTATTTCTCCATGGATTCATTTGTTCTTTGTATTTTTCTCACATTTTTACATTTTTCTTTATTAAATCTTATCTCTGAACTTAATGAGCGTGTAATCTTAGGCAAGTTGCTTACTTTCAGTGAGCCTCACCATCCTCATATGTAAAATGGGGTTTATGAGGTTTTAGTAAGTAGTGCAGTGCTCGGAACATAGTGGGTAGCCAATATATGTTACTTTCCCTTCCCTTAATTTTTTTTATTACATTACTTTACTGAATTTCTTATTGTACAATGTGTCCTTGGAACCTTACATGCCAAAATAACATAATTTATTCTCTAACATAAATCTGTTGTTTTGATAAGAAAATGCAAGCTGGTAAATAAATCAATAAAAGTAGAATCAACATCTAATATTTACTTTCTGTTCTTACATCCTTACTGGGTGGGAAACAAAGCAAGAGAAATGCATGATAGTTGCCTCTTTGTACAACTCCAGAAGGCACTATTCACATTTTGCTTATAGAATATGATTATATATGACTTCAGCTACGGTATGGAGCCAATCCAGTGTTTTATATAATTATCTCATTTAATCTCACTCTTCTTCAGGATAGTTATTATTCCCATTTTAATATCTCAGAATAGAAGTTATCATTCCATTTTACACATGAAGAAACTAAGACTCAGAAGGTGGCACAAATGGTTAAGCGCTCTGCTGCTAATTGAAAGATTGGTGGTTCGAAACCACCAGAGGTATCACAAAAGAAAGGCCTGGCTTCTGAACGATGACAGCCATGAAAACCCTATGGAACAGAGTTCTACTTTGCAGACATGGGGTTGCCATGAGTTGGAATTGTCATCTGGTGTTGTTATTGGTTAACTGGTTAGATCACATAGGGTTCAAAGCCATCAAGCTTAATTTCTGTGATCCGCGTTTCTCCTTTCTCGAAAGTTTTCCTAGGGCTTAATGTTCCACAAGCAATCATTTGAGTCCATTTAATATAACCCCCTACCATCTAGCTGATTCTGACTCATAGTGACCCCCATAGGGTTTCCAAGGCTGTAAATCTCTACAGAAGCAGACTACCACATCTTTCCTCCATGGAGCCACTTGTGGTTTCAAACCGCCGAACTTTCAGTTAGCAGTACAGCACTTTACCCAAGTAAAATGTGGTAAAAATATAATCTTCTCCCACAATTATGTCTTTAAAAGACAGATCTTAATTATTCCCTATTACAGGGAAAGGATGTGTTAGAATAAGATGAAGGATTGAATAGGCTGATCTGCAGCTCCTTTCTGCCTCAGGGCCTTTACACACATAGTTCTCTTTGCCTAGAAGGCCATTTCTCTCTCTTCATCTGCTAATTCTTACTGATCCCCCTGAAAACATCTCATAGAGGTGTTACTCTCAAGGGGCACTACCCACTAGAGTATTAGGGACATATACTGTGTGTTCTCTCCTTGTGTTGTACACCATTCCTTTCTTTTGTAGCACTCACAAAAACTGTAATTAAACAATTACTTGTATAAAAATTTAACATCTGACTCCTCACCATTCCTCCCCTCCAATTTCAAAATCTATAAGGGCAGGGACTATGTCTGCCATTTTTATCATTGTATCCTTAGCCCTTTGAACAGCACCTGGCAAATGAAAGAAGGAACAGTTGAAATCTGGATTGTTTTCCCTTTCAGGGAAGATCTGGAGAAGACATTTTCATCTGTGACCCTCATTCATATAACCAGGAGATCTAAGAGCTGATGTTTCTGCTTCATGGTATACAAAACAGGCTGTTGGTTCTTTTCATAGTATTTTTAGACCATCAGTTACTTTTACCATTCTGAGTACATGCAAATAACTGGAAAGCCCCTGTACTTTTACAGTCTCATTAACAAAAAAAAAAAAAAAAAAAGAACAGTTGCAGAAATAGTGAGTGGAGATAATTTGATGATGAAGCGTGTTTTATCTTACAATTCTCCAGTCAAGGCAATGTAGGTCCTAGTGTGCAGATGAGCTCTACAGCCACCTTTACTGATAGGATTGGGTGGTAAATGCCACAACCTGAAATGGTGAATCAGAACATCTGTCATAAACAACTGGACTCAAAATATGTTAAGCAAAAGCAAATATTCTTGAAATTTCATTGAGAAGCTCCCATATTTAAAAAAAAAATGAGGTATGTAAGAAGTAGAACAGGTCAGTCTTTGGGCCATGCCTTTGTGACCAGAGGAGAGCCGAGCACGGCGGCTTCACATTCACAGAGAAGCACAGTGGCATTTAGGTGCTGCATTGACGGGAACCAAGCCCTGCAATTCCCATCTGTATGATTCTCTAAACAAAACCAGTCAGATATACATCAGCTCATTTAATCTTCACAACAGTCCTGGGAGGGAGCTATTAGTCATGATTCCCGCTTTACAGATCAGGAGACTGAGACTCAAGAAGGGTAAATGACTTGTCCAGGTTCGTAGCACTAATAAGTAGAAAGCAAACATTTGAAGAAGACTAACACATTTCCACAATAGGGTAAGATACCTGTCCATCTGACATATGAAAATACCCAAAAGTATTCTGTTTCTTTTCAAAGAGCATCTCCCTGACTTAGTGTGTAGCTTATTTGGATTTCTGGTCAGATATTCCAGGACTACTATTATCTGATCTCCAGCAGATGCCAGTGTGAGTAATCTCTGCCCTTTTGAGACTTGGAGGGTGAGTCAGGAAGAAACAACATGCACCTCAAAGTGCAAATTAACTCCGGATAACAAGGAATTCAGAAGGAAGAAATCACTTGGTTTCACTCTTTATTTATGTAACATTCACAGTGTCAGGCAGCAGGACTGTGCCTGGAGATACAGAGCTAGAAAAGGCAGAGTGCCGCCCACTGTCACAAAGCTTAGAGCCCAGCAGCCTTCTATTGTGAAACTCACAAAATGGCAGCCACTGCCTGAGACTGATATGTTTTACTTGACCCACATGGGATCATAAGAAATTTTTGTTATTAGCTGACAACAATTAAAAATTAGAATATTTCATATAAAACTCCAGATTTCGAACTTCCCTTGACAAATGAGAAGAAACAGCAACTCGGGGTCCAACACCAAACTGAAAGCAATTTGCAGGAGCTGAGTAGTGGCTGTCTCCCATTTATCACAGACCACACTTTTCCCTATTGCTTTCCTAACACAGGATCAGATTATCATCACATATTTTTCTTATTGTAAAGCTAAGAGGAAAGATAAATGTTTCTTTACCAATATCTCTATCAAAATATTTGTTTCATGCATCCCACTCTGCTGTTTTATATAATGGCCTGACTCCTAAAGGCATTTGAGTTTGTGGATAGTTCCTCTCCCATAGAAATGTAGAGCCCCTAGAGGTAGGGGTAATTGCTGTTCAAGGGAGGGTAGCTGCCAAGCACGTTAACTGTTTGTACCACCCAGGGACTCCTTTCTTTACATTGTTGTTGTTGGTTACCACTGAGTTGATTCCAACTCATAGTGACACCATGTGTGCAGAATAGAACGGTGCTCCATAGGGTTTTCAAGGCTGTGACCCTTTGGAAGCAGATCTCCAGGCCTGTTTTCTGAGGTGCCTCTGGGGGTGTTTAAAATGCTAACTTTTTGACTAGTAGTCGAGTGCTTAACTATGTGCGCCACCCAGGGTCTCCTTACCTTGCATTACAAGTCTTATTTTACACGTTTCTCCCCACTTCTAGCCTCTAAACACTCAGTACCGTTAATCTCTAGATCAGTATTTGGCACTTAGGAGCTGCTCAATAAATATTGTAGAGGAATTGAGTCGAGGGTCCTTGTTGATGCCTATTACCACACCAGGATTAATTTTTTTCTTTGTGTCCACCTCTGCATGCCATCTTTTTAGTTTTCTGTATTCACTAGCATTATTCTGTATTGAAATTAAACATTGAATTAAAAAAAAATTTCAGCAATGTAAATAAATAAATATGATCCAACATAATTATCCCTTCTTTGTTGTAGCTTTCTTTGGACCTCTATCACACAGAAGATGATATTTACAAACTGTCACTGGTGCTGGAGCCCAGGAACTCTAAATCGGTAGGTATTGTTTTCTCTCTAAGGATTGTTGTCAGATACTACTGTTTGTCATCTACAGTAATAGACCATTACAATGATGCTTTTGTGTTTGAAAGATTAAAGAATTTTAAAAATCTATATTATTTCCATTTTACTGATGGAATAGCATACCCCTGACATTTTAAGATTATTTCTTCATATCAGAGGCTAATATGAGGAACAATATCATTCCCAATTACTCTGTTTTATTGATCATCTATTTGTTGTAGTCTATCTGAGAACTCACTCATGTATAGCATCAAAAAGAAAAAAAAAATAATAATAACCTCAATCTTAGTATTAAAGTTTATTTAAACCCTCCTACCCTTTAAAAGTGGAGCCCTGGTGGCTCAGAGGTTAAGAGCTACTGATGGTAACCAAAAGGTCGGCAGTTTAAATCCACCAGCCACTCCTTAGAAACCTTATGGGGCAGTTCTACTCTGTCCTGTGGCGCAGGGGTTAAAGCGATCGACTGCTAACTGAAAGGTCAATGGTTCGAAACCACCAGCAGCTCTGCTGGAGAAAGATTGCAGTCTGCTTCTGTAAAGATTTACAGCCTTGGAAACCTTATGGGGTTGCTGTGAGTTGGAATCGACTTGACAGCAGGGGGTTTGGTTTGGTTTGGGTTTAACCTTTTAAAAAATTCTATTCAAAATAAAATTGGATATTTTTAAGTACCCCTGATGAAAATTCACACATTTTTCCTCTAACGATTGACTCAGTTCAGACTTTCAATATCATATTTGGTAGTGTCTCATGTAACTGAAGGCTGACTCTTAGTAAATAAACACTGTATAATGAGATTGAGGATATCATGTCACTGAATGTACATTGCTCATTTGTTGCAGTGAGTGTACTATATTTTATATATATTTTGTACTAATAAAAAACTACCTGGATAAATTGGAAATTTACAAGGAGGATGAGGTTTGCATGTTGAAGAAAAAAAAGTCTATGTTTGCTGTCTTACACTCATATCTTGAGATCAGTTTCCTTATAGAGCTCCCATACACTAACTCCTTACCAGCTGAACTCTGTAGCACATTGCCAGTGACTTTAGACCCTAAATCTGCCTCTATTAATAGCTACTGTGATTCAAACCATGGAAATGAAAGAGACAGAATGACTGAGAGCCATTCTCCTATACTGGTAAGGGCTGCACTTGAACCTGAGTTATTTTACCTGTGGGGTACAGTGAATTACTTAATATGGTCCTTCTAGCTGTAGTCTTTGTAACTCCCACCAAATGGCTGAGTGAGACTATGCAAATGAGGTGCTTGTAGCCCAATGAGGGGATTGGATAGCTTGCTAATAATGTAAATAAGGTACATGACATCTTTGTGGTGTGGGACCATGCAAATAAGGTGTAAGGAACCCTAATGAGGGGATTAGTCAGTTTTGCCATCCCACTAGGCTTAAAATGAGCCATCCCAGAGTGGAGAAGAGAGGGTATCAACACCACCAAGAAAGAAGAACCAAGAGTGGAGAGTATCCTTTGGATCTGTGATCCCTGCACTGAGAACCTCCTAGATCCAGGAGACAGAGAGAGGGAGCTGTAACACCGGAGACAGCGAGAGGCAGCGAGAAGCAGGGGCAGAGAAACAGTGGTAGCAGAAGAAGCAGAACCAGGATACCAGCAAGAGATGGCTTGGTGGGCTTCTCAGCCCATAGGGAGAGAATGCTGAGCACCTTCAGGCAGGAGGCTTACTGCAGACATGGGTTTGCCAACCCTTCGGGTCGAGGCTTACTAGTGGAGTGAAGTGTCTCCAGGCACTTACTGGCAGAGCTAAAAGAGCTTTGTAACACTTGCCTGAGCAGGCCCAGGCCGAGGTGTCAGAGAGAGGTGTGCCTTCGGGCATGACTGAGAAGAGACTGTCCTGATTGAAGAACTGTATCCTGAGTGTTCCTGAACTTGAATTGTAACCCGTTACTTCCCTAATAAACCCCATAATTGTATTGTCTGTGAGTTCTGTGGGTCCATTGCAACAAATTATCGAACCCAGCAGAGAAGTAGAGAGTGCCGTGGGAGGGACAGTTGGTGTCAGACTGGTAAAAGGTGGAGGGTGGAAGCATTTCTGACCTCCACCTCATAGGAATCAACCTTGGGCTATTGATAATGATTCTCCTTCCCCCTTGTGAAGTTAGAGGTGGTCAGATTCCCCCGCCACTCCATTTTTACCATCTGCTAGCATCTGTTCCTAAAATAGTGAGCGTAGTGGTTCCATCAGCATGTTCACACTCCCTGCCAGTATCCCAGAGGTCCATCTCCTGGGGACACTGCAGAATAGAGCCCTGTGGGAAGATCTAACAGACTGGAAAAGGGAGGGATGGGGACCCAGTCTCTTCAAAGTTAGCATGACTAAGAAAGCCAAGACAGAGACAAAGTTTTCGCAAAAAAGAAATATTTCACCTCCTCCCTCATTCCATAGCTCTGCTGTGATAAGCCTGACCAGGGCGTGTTAGGCTGCAGTGTATACGCACTCACAGATTTTTCCACTTCCCTGACATCTTTCTTTATCTAAACCAGGCACCTTAATTCCTACCCGTTGTTGGATGCCTGGTGGGGCATCATATCTGTGTTATCTCATTAACTGTTAAGAAAACTGAGTCTGCATCACACAACCTGTGAGTATGAGGACTGGGATTCAATCTCAGGCCTGTCTTCAACGCCTGCGCCATTTCTACCACGTGATGCTGTGCCATTTTCCCACCAGCCCTCATATCCAGAACAGGGTGGGAATTACCATTTTAGCACACTTATTTGTGCCTTTTAGGAGTTACTTGATTTTATTTTCAGGATAAACGTTTTGCCAACTTTGCCAACCATCAAATACAGAGAAGTCTTTTTATTATTTGTAAGAGCAGAAGTTTTCAAATCCCCTCCCAAGTGCTAAAAGCTTGTGAATCTATGAAAACACATTTCCTAATCCTTTCTGTCTCTTCTCTAAGTGGTGTGTCATCCTTTTTTGTGCTTGATCTTTGACATATGTTAATAACTAAAGAATACTGACTAGTCAGGGTTATGTACTGAGAGCCTGTAGCTTTAATATGCTTACAGTCAGCATGGGCAAACTTCACCCAACTAGTTAGCTCTGAGGGTCTCGAGCTCCAAATAACATAATAAATATTTATGTTCTGACAGCTTAGTACCCACTTGAAAAAATACTACACACACATTGAAAGACAAATAGTATTTTTATTTTATTCTTAACCACAATCACTTACTAAAGTATGCCGTACCTGTTGGGCTCTGTGCAATTTCTAAATCTTGGAATCATATTGGATACCACCACCCTCATTTCTGTTCCACATTAATTTTTGCTTCACAAAGATATGGTGTCACAGCACAGTCTAACAGACAGACTATTACTACATTAAACTAGCAGTTCAAGTAGTATCTGTCCAACAGATATTGAAAATTGTGTTTTTCTTGGAAGCTTGAAACACCTTGTGGCATCCCTCCAAGTTTGCTGAAGTGTCCCCGGGCAGGTTTATCCTTCACCCAAGATGAAAAGCTCACTAGAAAGATCTATGATGTGTGCAGGTGTGTGTGTATGTATGTGTGAGTGGTGTGTGTATGTATATGTGTGAGAGTGAATGTGTGAAGAGTGTGTGTGAGTGGTGTGTGTATGTGTGAGACTGAATGTGTGTGTGTAAAGAGTGTGTATGTATGAGTCGTGTGTCTGTGTGAGTGTTATAGGTATGTGTGAGAGTGTATTTGAAGAGTGTATGTGTGTGAGTGGTGTGTGTATGTGTGACACGTAATGTGTACGTGACTGTGTGTGAATGTGTATGTGAAGAGCGTGTGTGTGTGAGTGGTGTGTGTATGTGTGAGACTGAATGTGAGTGTGTGTGTGTATGAGAATGAATGTGTGAGTGTGTGAAGAGTGTGTGTGTGTCTGTGGTGTAAACATATCCAAATGGCAGGTATAATTTTTGGTCCTGCTGGTAGCTTACAGGATACTATTAATGCCTTCCTCACAATATTGTTAAGGGCTTAAATAGGTACACTTAGGCCTTACTACCAGAACTCTCACACTGGATGTTTGTTACAAACTCTTGCAAAAATGTTTATCCCCGATTTATTATCAAATAAAACACCTTGTACTAGAAGTTTGCATGCATGTACCAGCAACAATGTCTACCCTGGTAAGGATGCCAGGGAGAGGCTATGAAGTGCACACAAATCTCAGTTGTGCATTATCGCCATCATCTTCCCCACATTATTAAGTGAAAACATCCTGCAATGATGTGGGAAAATCTATGGAGGAAGCAAGTCCACCAGAGGACAAGAGAAGCCCTGATGATTACCAGAAAAGTCAGAAGTTGAGAGAGATGCAGGCATATAGACATGAACTTGACTGTGCACTGGTACCACCTACTGTGCATACCCACTGATTCATCACTAGTATCAAGTGTTAAATAATTAGATAACTGGTGTTTTTCATGCAAAAAATACTTGATGGATTGTTATATATGTGTTTCAGGATGTTATAGTGATATTTGGGAAACGTGGATGGAATTATTTTTTCCCATTTAAAATAATGGGGTTTAGGCTGCTGCTAAGCAAAATGCACTATCCAAACATGCATTTAGTTACAGATTAGATTCTAGTAACAAAAGATGCCTGTTTTATAAACATGTAAGTGCTACATAAATGTACATTTTTATTGGTCTTATTGATATACAGAAGTTATATGTTTTTTTTCACTGTCCCTGGTCCTAATTGCTCAAGGTCCCAGTTAATATTTTAAAATGTGTGTGTTCACTGAGTTTCTGTTAATAATGGTAGAATAATTTACATAAGGATAGAGGGGATGGTGGCAAAACATGATGAATGTAATTGATGTCACTGAATTGTACATGTAAAAATTGTTGAATTGCCCACTGCTAGGATTATATCCTAGAGAAATAAGAGTTGTCACTCGAATAGACATTTGTACACCTATGTTCATGGCAGCATTGTTCACAATAGCAAAACGATGGAAACAACCTAGATGCCCATCAACAGATGAATGGATAAACAAACTATGGTACATAC